TTGTGCGCACGTATAACCGATTCAAAACGTTCAGCTACAGGACTTTTTTGTTCAACTTCTTACAAGTAATATCATTCACTTCCTTGACTATTTTTTAACTTTAACTAGATAAAACCTAATTAAATTTTGTTTCTACCATTTGATGTTTGTAAATTTAGATGTTTTTAATATATTTCCTTTGTAAAATACATGTGTGATAATAAAAGAAAATTTAAAAAAATATTATTGTAATTCTATAATTTACAAAACCTCATTTTAATCAGAAAACCATAAAACCTCAGTAATCCTGAAGGGCTAGTAATTGTCGGTCTTGTTGGTGAATGTACCCATTCTTTATTGTTCTTTGTTGTATGGCTCATAGTATTTTATTATATGACATAACTGTAGAGGTATATTATGTAGTCTATCTGTACTTTAGCCACTTACATTTTTTCTTAGCTAAAATATAAAAATATTGTAAAAATACTACTATTTCATTAATGAGCAGAAAAATAAAAATCACTATTAGGCCTGTAACTTATATTGTCTGCATATTCATATTAAATACATTCGGCAGTTTGTTACAGCTATACTATATGTTTTCGGAGGGAAAAATGCATTTCTATATACACACACACACACACACACACACACACACATATATATATATATATATACACACATAAATCTTTCAACCATCATATTTAATAGACAAAGTTAATACATAAATCTTTCAACCATCATATTTAATAGCCAAAGTTAATACATAAATCTTTCAACCATCATATTTAATAGACAAAGTTAATATATAAATCTTTCAACCACCATATTTAATAGACAAAGTTAATAGGATTTTGTTTTTAGTTTTTCACATAAATACAAACGGCTATATGTTAGAGAGAAAGCAGCTCTGGATTTTGTAGTTGGCGAGCCTGGTTCGAATCCGCGCAGTACTACAAAATATTTCCTACACTTTAAGTTATGGGTGGGTTATTAGAGTGAGAGTCAATCCCTTAGCGTGAATGGTGTGTGGTAGGGTGTCACTGACTGGCTGTCTTCTCTCTGATCAATAGTTCAAACTTAGGGCTAGCGGTAGATACCCTTAGTTGTTTTGCCATATTGCAAAATAGAAATACGAAGAAAAACCAGCTAGTTAATAACGTCTAATACCAACTCTTGGAATGCTGTATTCGAATGTTGGGATTTGTCAGTCGCTCTTACAACGAACTCACAGCCCCAAAGTGGGGAGAAAAAGTTTTTTTGTTTGTTTGTATGGGAATATGATGTGTTCACGCTGTGGCACGCTAACCACTAGGTCACACCCGTCCCAATTAATAGGAAAAACATATGTTACTTTTAGGGAAACAGAGAATATCTTTTCCCCTTTTGTGTAAATTTGTGTAAATAAGTCGTTATATATTTTTAATATTCTTTGTTTAATTTTAATCCAAATAATAACAAACGTATGTTAAGGTTTCATATGATTTACGCTTGCTTTACGTGAAGAGCATCAAAATAATATCTTAAATTTTATAGGGTGTACTCAATGAATCATTTTGATTATTATTCTGTTAATAATTATTTTGAAGTTTAGAAAATAATTAACAGTTCTTATTGAGCAACATACCCAATAGAATGGGTAGTTGACGTTGATCACAAAGCTAAACAATTGGCTGTGTGTATGTGTTCTGCACGCCACGGCTATCGAAACCTGGAATTTAACGTCGTAAGCCTGAAGATCGCTGAGCCATTGGGTGGCATACCCACTAGGAGAACAACCAACAGACTACTGCCGGTGTTTTCAATTCTGAATGAACGCCATGGTTAAACGACAGTAAAAGTTTCTATCTGTGAAATACAAAGGAATTTTCTCAAAATAATATCAAAGTCAGACAAATTGTAAAGTTCGAGATAAAGCGAAAAGTTTCGTTTTTATAATCAGTGACTGGAAAACCGTAACTTTGTTTAATAATTCACAATAAATAGTTTGTGAATGATTCAAAGAACGACATAAAAAAAAAAACAATCAGCAGAACATGTATGCTAATAAACACACAAATAATCAATTGTGTACTTTCACGCTTGTAATACTTTTTACATCAGCGTTTAAGAAGAACAATTATCATATTTTCTGTCCAAGCCTTTAATGTTAACTTAAATAATTGAAGTTTCAATGAAATAAGAAGCGGCCAGTCATGCTAGAATACCGACATTGACAAAACAATTTAATAAAAAAGTGTCCTTGTTAAAACCGGAAAATTCTGTTGTACTCAATTCACTCCCATAGATGAGAATAAAACATTTAATTAAAGCAAACAAATGAAAGATGAAACATGTGGCACTTAAAACTTCCTGCAGGTGGCGAACGTTTGACGTCATTTCACACAACAGTTTATGATGTATGACTAAACTAACGAGTTAGAATATCCGGGTTCTCTGGAAATGCTTTTCTTAGCTTGTTAATTAGAGAAAACCAATTAGTTCGATTCCACTAAGAATAAAATATGTGACAAGCAAACACATTATTTTAAGAAAGAGAATACCACACCTCTTAGCAACAAAATTAGAGCGTGGGTTAGAAGTTATATTCAGAACTAAATTACACACTTTAATGCTAATTGGTAGGCTAATGTTGCTAGGCAATAGATATAAAAGTGGAAGAAATTATCAATTTCGGTGTATGTCAAAGGACTATGGCCGGGAGTGGCCTAGTATTTAGTGTGGTCGGACAGTGAATTATAGGATTTGTGATTCATGGCCTGTTACCGTAAAAACACTCTCCGCACTTTAGTGTCATGGGTGCGCTATCAGAATGACGATCAAATCCTACTATTACAAAAGAGTAATCAAAACGTGGGCGGTGGGTGCTGTTGACTATCTGTCTTCTCTGATCTGTCAGTTCAAATTTACTGACAGCTATACGCAACTAACCATTTGTGTATCTTTGCACGAATACGCTGAAACAAACAAGTTAAAGGGCCAATTTGTCACTGCAATAATGAGAGAATGGAAGTATGTTCATGAGGCATTCATTACAAATACAACAAAAATCAGTGAACAGAACTAATAACAGATTGTTGGACATACATGTGGAAGCAGTCCATCGGATTATGAGAAAGATATTACAAATGAAATGTCATAAGTACCGGAACTGTTGCAGCAGTCAAAAGCAAATAATAAACCAGCACGTCTATAACATAATTGTTGTATACTAGTATTATGCTTAACTGGTTGGATACTGATGATATTTTTGGACAGTGTAATGCTAAGTAATGATCGAGGCTACTTTTCATACATCCAGCGATGTCAATCACCACAAATTTCGTATATGACGATATTAAAATCCCACACTGTATTTGAACATTTGAGCAATAGTCTGAAGTTCAATTTTTGGTACGACCTGACAATGTCAACAAGTGTTTGATGCATTTTTCTTCGTTATAACTAAGAATGATGTGACCTCCTTAGACATGTTGCAGAACTTCCTGTCACAGCAATTATAGTATGATGGCTTGAAAAATACTGTATTCTTCCAGCTAAATGGGGCACCACACCATTATCATCAAGGGGTTAGCTTACTATGAAATGAAACATTTCCTGGACAAGGGAGGAGTATCACCACTTGACTGCATCATTCCATAGAAATAACCCCTCAGGTTTTACCCTCCGGAGGATTCATAAAAAGATATTGTATTTGTCCTTCCCATGCTAACTATGGAATTGTGAGGCCGGATTTTGAGAGATTTTACTCATGTTACCCTTTACATGCTAATACTTGTATGGCCAGAGGTCAAGTACTGAGTAGAGGTTTACCATGTAATCATTGATGTCCTTATTGAAGAGCCTGATTTTTGGAGAAAAACTTCATGAGTTATATATTGAATGTGGAGCATATTAATTTGTTCCGATTGCTACTTGCGGTACAGTTTGTTTATGTAACTAGTGAAGTAATTTAGACACATTTTGTAACTGAATTGTTTCAAGATAGCCCAACGCTGCTATGTGATTGTTGCATGGCAGACTCAATAACGTAACTCAGTTACTTTATTATTATCTAAATATATTACTCAATCGTTCATTGATAAACATCAATATCACTGGAAGAGTGCAAGATAGATTTAATGATTGTTTTTAATTGTTTCATAATAGATCTTACAATGTGACTTAACTGATTTATGAAAAATCTAAAAATAATTTACAATCGTTTTGAGTTAGAGGCCATAAAATTACTCCTTCTTTCTGATAAACAAAATATTGATATTCGAACATCCGACATGGAACAGAATCAGTGCCACTGTCAGACAGTAAAATAATGATATTCGAACAGAATTAGTGCCACTGTCAGACAGTAAAATAATAATATTCCAACAGAATTAGTGCCACTGTCAGACAGTAAGACCGTCACTCCCTGGTTTAGAACACAAAGTAACTTGATAATCTTTAAAGATGAAATATAAACAATAGCTGCTTAACGAAACGTCAAAAGGAGAACCTTTAAAATAAGTTTGAATATTTTTCGTCTGTCACATCCACGAATGGTATTGTTCAATGATTCGGTACGCTGTAGCTAATAATGATCGTCTTTCATACTTTCCTTGCATTGATTAATAAATTAATGGTAAAGAAAAATATTTCATAACAGTGTTTAAAGTTCTAATAGTAAAAGGATTAATTTAAGATCAGCTTAATCCATTACTGGACAGTAAGTTTCTGTTGACGAGTAATAACTGTATGTTAATGAACAACTAAGATCGTTTAGAACCATATGGTTATGAGAGTTTAACTTAATATCGTTTGTTTCCTCATGGCAAACTAAAAACAATCGAATAGTGAAAAGTACAGATAAAGTTGCGGAAAAATTTGTTACGTGATTAGATCAAACAAAATAATGTTTGATGTAATAAGCAAAAAAAAAGAAGTTACGAATCCAAAGTAATTAAATGATTGTTTTTTATTTTAAAAAAGACCCTGAAATATCTCACTACAGTTCAAAGAAACGTTAAGAATGTCAGTAACCTCACCTGTAATAATAATGATCCATTTTGAATTATGATTCGAATGCAGTACTTCTGGCTGGCATCCCATCTGGCTAAACTGTAGACATCTTCTATTTGGGAATAAGGGATGGGGGCGTCCATAAAGCCTGTTGGCTGTTCAGGTAAAAAGAAAAATCGAAAGAGAATAGTCTTAACATATATATTTTTGTAAAGCTTACATATGTCATAATTTAAACGATATTTGGTGTAGGTTATTGTTTCACTCCTAATTATTCTAAACTAGGATACAGCTAAATCTCTCCAACAGATAACACTATTTTTACGCAGTTTCTGAGATCAGGCCAGTGCTACCCTATTAGCAGCGACTACATTAATAGCAGTGATATTCTTTTTGAGGAGTTCCGGAAAAGACCAAATTTTGTCCTCCTAACTGTAGTCCGTGTGGATAGTATATTGTTGTATCCACAGAGGCTATAGTTGGTAGAATCAAACTGTCTGTTCTTTGGATAAATTCTCATTACAATATTTTTGTTATATCCATAGGGTATACAACTATCAAGGCCAACTTTTTTATCTTTAGACAAGTTTTCATTAAAATATATTGGTGTTTTGGATCTTTGGACAAGTTTTCCTTACAATATATTGGTGTTTTGGATCTTTGGACAAGTTTTCATCACAATATATTGGTGTTTTGGATCTTTGGACAAGCTTTCATTACAATATATTGGTGTTTTGGATCTTTGGACAAGTTTTCATTACAGTATATTGTTTGTAACGACAAATTATCCAAAAACCCGACAGTTAGATTCTGCATGCTGTAGCACACGTGAATACAATAATATAGTGTAATGACAAATTATCAATAGACCCGACAGCTAGACTCTGCATGCTGTAGCACCCGTGAATACAACAATATATTGTAATATATTATCAAAAGATCCAACACTTTGATCCTGCTAACCGTATCTCCTACGAATACACTAACATACTAGGATAAGTTCCTGAAAAGATCAAATACTTTCACATTGGTAGCTGCAGCCTCTGAGGACACACAAATATATCATACTAAACATTTATACATATATATAAACGAAATACGTTGACTTTGCTGTCTTAAGCCCATGTAGATACACGATATCTTATCAAAGGACTATTTATCGTAATTATTCTATGTGAAGGTCCTGCAGTGAAAGACACACTGGTCCGTTATCAAAACATGATCATGTGTATTTGATAATAACGTGAAACCTTATCAATTTTATCACTATAAAGTGAAAAACATATAAGAAGTAAGCTTAAAACAATGTTGAAAAAATATAGGCTTCAATACATTAAACATGAAAACTAATTTCTATCGGATATAAGTTCACTGAACATGTCGAAAAGAGATATTTTCATAGTAATACTATAAATATTTGTACAAAAAACTCATTAAAAGGAAAGTTAAGAAGAAAAATATTGAGTTGAAGAGAAAATTATATTTCAAAGAAACAAATAAAAATCGGTGTTTATAACAGTTGGCATTATCATTTTTTTTATTTTTTTTGTAAAATAATAATTACAAGCTGTTAACTTCTGGATAAAGTGATTGTTCTAGCTATTAAGACTTGTCATTACTATTTGTGTTGCTGTAAAATACTTTACCCAAAAGGTGCAAGACGAAACGGTGGTAAAATAAAACACTTTTCTATAGTTCAAGTTGTTTTTAATATGTTTGACATTAATTATATAAGGCGTTTCTTACCACCATCACCAACAAGCCAACCTTGTTTCAATAGTTCGTAATAACTTTAGATAAAATGTTATTTATTTCAAACAACTTGTTTGATTTTCATGTAAACTAAAAGTATCTCATTATTCAGTAGAATTTATACATAATTCAGCTTCAGCATATTTTACAACAAATTATGTGCCAAGAAAAAAATATTTCTGTAACAGATACTACTATCGATATTAAAACTTCTTACCACCATCACCAACAAGCCAACCTTGTTTCAATAGTTCGTAATAACTTTAGATAAAATGTTATTTATTTCAAACAACTTGTTTGATTTTCATGTAAACTAAAAATATCTCATTATTCAGTAGAATTTATACATAATTCAGCTTCAGCATATTTTACAACAAATTATGTGCCAAGAAAGAATATTTCTGTAACAGATACTACTATCGATATTAAAACTCCTAGTAAGATGAGTCCTTCAAAGACATTACAAGACTGCCTGAGCTCTGGTTTAAATACTTTGTCTGGTTTGTTGAAAGCAAAAATAAAATAAGTTGAACAAACGCTTTAAATAATTAAATCTACAATATATTCCGGATGCTAGTATTCAAGTGTGAATCCTGATTAGAAATGCCATTATCCGTCCACGTGATACTCAAATTACCAGAGCGGTGTAAACAATTCATTATATAACTACACTAAAATTGTAAATGCATACATGTGTCATTAAAGAAAAATATTCTACATGTAGTAACGAAACATTAGTATGTAGAATACAAGGTAATTTCGAATTATTTAGTATACCCTGAATCTCTGTAATTACCATTCAATGTTAATATTATCCCATTTGTAGTTTGAGGTTGTTATTAGCAAGTGTTATTTAATTGAATCTGTTCCTTCACATCGGATCATGTAATGTCGAGGTTTTTTTTTTTCGTTTGTTTGTCGTTAGGCTTTTGTTTGTTTGTTTTGAATTTCGCGCAAAGCTACACGAGGACTATCTGCGCTAGCCGTCCCTAATTTAGCAGTGTAAGACAAGAGGGAAGGCAGCTAGTCATCACCACCCACCGCCAACTCTTGGGCTACTATTTTACCAACGAATAGTGGGATTGACCGTCACATTATAACGCCTCCACGGCTGAAAGGGTGAGCATGTTTGGCGGGACGGTGTATTCGAACCCGCGACCCTCAGAT